GGATACCAACTGACTAATGATTTTAAGAGATGATTGTATATGAATAATTATTTTGGTGTGACACTGGTATTCAGGTTATGGTTTTCTTTGTTTTCATATTTTTAGATAAATATATTGAAATAATTACTGAGGAGTTAAAATGATGTCTGAGATTTGCTTCAAAATGATATGGGGGTGGGGTGGGGTATAAGTAAAGCTAGATTTGCTTAAGTTAACTATTGTTGAAGCTGGAAAAGGGGGATGTGAGGGTTCATTGCACCATTTTGTCTAATTTTATGTTTAAAAATTTTTTGAGCAATAAGTACTTTTATTTATTTATTTTTAATTCTCACCTGAGGATATGTTTGTTATTGATTTCATTTTTTACTTTTTAAATATATTTTTATTGATTTCAGAGAGAAAGGGAGAGGGAGTGAGAGATAGAAACATCAATGATGAGAGAGAACCATTGATCAGCTGCCTCCTACACGCTCCCTACTGGGTATGGAGCCCAGAACTGAGCATGTGCCCTGACCAGGAATCGAACCGTGACCTCCTGGTTCATAAGTTGATGCTCAACCACTGAGCTATGCCAGCCAGGCCATTTTTCATTGATTTTAGAGAGGAAGGGGGAGAGAGTGAATCTTCAGTCAGTTGCCTCCCCTACGGGCCCAACTGGGGAGCGAACCTGCAACCTTTCGGTGTATGAGATGATGATGGAGCAGTAAGTACTTTTTAAAGAACAGTATTCTTCTGAGGCTTGTTCTTTCACTCAACATTATGTTTCTAAGATTCGCCCCCAAGTTGTAGCTGTAGTTCATCCAATGTTCACTTCTGTGTTGTCTTCTCATTGTATGAATTTTCTCATTTGGCTGACAATGGGTATTTGAGTTGTTTTCAGGTTTTTGCTATCACAAGGTGGCTCAAGTGCAGCCTTAACTTGGTAAAGCCAAACATCTGCACTGTGCTGGTGAGGTAAAGCGACAAGGATGGAAACGGAGGACAGGGGCACCAGGCGCTCTCTCAGATCTTACCCACAGGGGACCTTCAGGCTGGTGCGCTGCCGCAGAACTCATGCCAGTGAATTGGGAAGGTTTCGTTGGTTGCTAATGAGAAAACAAAATAAATAGAGCAAAAATGAAATGAAATTAACTAAAATAAAAAATGGGAAAAAGAGCAGAATTTATTTGTTAATATTTTTAAATTGATTTTTAAAAAGTAATCCTCACCTGAGGATATTTTTTCCATAGATTTTTTTTTTCAGAGAGAGTGGAAGGGAGGAGGGAGGGAGGGAGAGAGAGAGAGAGAGAGAGAGAGAGAGAGAGAGAGAGAGAGATGTGAGATTGACACATCGATTGGTTGCCTCCTGCATGGCCCCTACTGGGTCTGGGATTGATCCTGCAACCCAGGTACGTCCTCTTCCCCGACGGGGAATCAAATCTGATTAGTGCGTGGGCCGCCGCTCTCAGCACTGAGCCACACCAGCCAGGGCTTTATTTATTGATTTTTAGAGAGAGAAATATCGATTTGTTGCTCCATCTTCTATGCGTTCATTGGCTCATGCTTGTATGTGCCGACCAGAGTGGAACCCACCCCCTTCGCCCAAGAGAACGGCGCTCTAACCAAGGGAGCTGCCGGACCAGGGCACAGTCGGCTCCTTTCATGTAAAAGTCTGATTGCAAGCACCTCCCTGTTGGGCGGCTCTGTTCGTGGGAATCTTGTTTCTTCCCCCATCACTTGGCTCTGCTCAGCCCCACGCTGTCCTCCTTCTCAGGCAGGGTCTCCTCTGCCACTCCCTGCTCACATCCCGCCAGGCGAGCCCCAGGAAAGAGAAGCCCAGTCCCGTCTCCAGGCCCTGAATGGGGTGTGGCAGGAACTGCGCTGCTCCCAGTGCTGGTCTGGGTCAGCCATCCTTCCCTGGAGTGTGGTGAGAAGCCAGCCCTGCCAGAGCTGCATGGCTTGAGAATAAGGTGGATCCTGAAAACGTATGGGCGTGAGGGGTGAGTCCAGAAAAAGAGGCAGGGAATGCTGGGCTCGCAGAGCAGCAGACACCAGTACAACGCATCAGCGCCTTTTCTCACGTTGGCCCGGGAAGGCGTATGTGGGACACAGTGTAACCGGAGCCAGGTTCTGCTGCCTGCCAACCCTGCAAACCAAATGCTGGTGAAAAAGGAAAGAAGTTTTATTCAAGTGTCAGTCACGGAGGAGATGGGGGACTCTTGTCATAAAGCCCATCTCCCTGTCTGAGTGCAGGCAGAGGTTTGATAAGGAGGGAGAGGGAAAGCACAACAAAGAGACCAAGGGGAGGGTTGGAAAGTTCCCTACCTGCAGGCCAGAGCATCCATTCCAATAAGGACCTGCACACCCGGTGGTGACGTCTGTGCGCGTCATCCTGTGCTCATCATCCTGGCTCCATGTCATCCTGGCTCCATGTCATCCTGTGCTCATCATCCTGGCTCCATGTCATCCTGGCTCCATGTCATCCAGTGCTCATCATCCTGGCTCCACGTCATCCTGGCTCCACGTCATCCTGGCTCCATGTTTGAAGGTCAGCAAATCTCCCGGAACTGGGACAACAGAAGGTCCGAGTCTGCATCTTCTGAAGTTAGTCCCTAGGACTCTGATACAAACGTGCTGTTTACTTACAAGCTGCTTATTAGTCAGAGTCCGCATTTACAGAAACAATCCTTACAGTTCCCACTGTCACACCTGCATGTCAGGGGTGCTAATGGGGAGTGAGGATCAAAAGAACCCTTGTTTGTGAGGTGTGACCAGAGCCCTGTAACTTGGCAGCCAGCAGGCAGCTGGGAGGAGCAGAGGCCAGGAGGGCTGCAGACGAGGCAGGAGAGGCTCGCTCGGAAGGCCGTGGGCCAAAGGCCTGTGATCTGACGGGCAGTTTTGACAAGGAGCTCTTTCCTGGTTAATGTAAGATGTCAGACAGGTTTTATTAAAAACTTCCTCCTACTGCGAGTGGTACTTTGGGGCAAATAAAAGGGGAGATGGCTGTGACCTCCTAGGGTGGGAATGTGAACTGATAATGGGATGGAGCAGGTGACTGTGGAAGTGGCAGAAACAGGGGCTAGAGGAGATAGGTACCCACAGATGGGACCTCAGTACACAGTCATCGCATCCGATGCTTAATGAGCACCTACTGTGCGCCAGGCACTGCTCTGAATGTGTCCCCATCACATCTGATGCTTACTGAGGCACAGCTCTGAATGTGTCCCGCATATTAACCCATTTGCTTCACAACAATCTTCCAAGGTAGGTCCTATCATTACCCCCATAATAGAGACGAGGAAACTGAGGCACAGAGAGGTTAAGTGACTTACCCAAGTGGTAGAGTCTGGATTCTACCACTGTCACCTGCCTCACATAGGTGGGGGTGGTCTTGACAAGTCTACAGGAAGAAAGCCCATTTTATAAGGCCACCTTTTGGTGGCCTTACAGCGGAGGGACTCAGAGTGTCTATTGGTCCATTTGGAAGGAAAGGTGAGGGGCATCTGGGTGCCACAGAGGTGACCGGGTCCTGCAGGGCAGGAGACCTGTGCTGAAGGCGGAAGGTTTGCTGGGACAAAAACTGCTGAATTCCTGGTCTCTCAGAACTATTTTGCTCACTTCCTTTTGCCCATTTCCAATGGCCCCAGCACCCTTTTGGGGAAATACTGCTCCCCCAAAGGAGACCTTGAGCCTTTGTGGGCTCTGCAGGGTATCATGGTCCCTGGTGGGCCCCCCTCTCAACCCAGAGCAGCCAGCCTTCCACTGTTAGCCCTGCCTGGGGCAGCCGAGCTGAGGTCTGCCTTGTCGGGAAGGCAGGAGATGGGCGTCCCGGTGGCTCAGGTCCCGCTGTGGATGACTGAGGAGTTACAAGGAGAGAGAGAAGAATGAAGAGGCACAGACAGTGAGGCATGCACAAGATAGGCACAATGAGAAATAGACAGAGAGAGGGATGGCCCCAGCTGGTTTGGCTCAGTGGATAGAGTGTCAGCCTGCGGACTGATGGGTCCCAGGTTCGATTCTGGCCAAGGGCACGTGCTGGTGAAAATGGAAAGAGGTTTTATTTAAGTGTCTTGATCCCTAGTAGGGGGCGTGCAGGAGGCAGCCAATCAATGATTCTCTCTCATCATTGATGTTTCTCTCTCTCTCCCTTCCTCTCTAGTTACAAGGAGAGAGAGAAGAATGAAGAGGCACAGACAGTGAGGCATGCACAAGATAGGCACAATGAGAAATAGACAGAGAGAGGGATGGCCCCAGCTGGTTTGGCTCAGTGGATAGAGTGTCAGCCTGCGGACTGATGGGTCGTCCCAGGTTTTCTGGCCAAGGGCACGTGCTGGTGAAAATGGAAAGAGGTTTTATTTAAGTGTCTTGATCCCTAGTAGGGGGCGTGCAGGAGGCAGCCAATCAATGATTCTCTCTCATCATTGATGTTTCTCTCTCTCTCCCTTCCTCTCTGAAGTCAATAAAAATATACTTAAAAAAAGAAAGAAAATCAGTGTTTAAAAAAAAGAGAGGTATGGAGACAAGACAGATACAAAGACAAACAAAAAAAGACAGAAGGCGATGAGAGTGATGGACAGAGAGTGAGATGGAGAAGAGATATAATGTCAGGCAGAGAGAAAATGTCAGATGGAGAGAGATGAGCAGTAGACACACTGCCCTCCCAGCCCCACAGAGGGACATGCTGGGACCAGCTTGCAGAAACATACCCCTCACACTGACCTCCTTCTAGGAACTCCCACATTGGCAGCCGGTCCTCCCTCAGCTCTGCCCTCCTCTCCTGCTGCTGGCCAAGCCCATTAAGCTGCTCTCCTGGCCACAACTGAAGGCCCCACGCCCTGGGAAGGAAACCACTGAAGAGGCGTCCATGCTCCCCTGCACCCCAAACCATCAATTAGTGTTAATGAGGGAAGGCTTCTCACTGCGTAAAGACCCCCATCGGGGCCCAGTTGGCGGGGAAGCCCCACCTCCGTGACTCAAGAGGTTAAAGGGCCTGGGCCAGCCTGTGAGCCCAGAGTGTCCAGATGGCGTGTGGCAGTGGGAAGGTCACCATCCAGCTGGTGGATGAGGAGGCAGGACCTGGAGCCCAGGACCCGAAGCTTTTTAGAGGCCAGAGCTATGAGGCAATCCAAGCAGCCTGCCTGGATGAGGGGATCCTGTTCCGTGATCCCTACTTCCCTGCTGGCCCTGATGCCCTTGGCTATGACCAGCTGGGGCCAGACTCAGAGAAGGCCAAAGGAGTGAAATGGATGAGGCCCCATGTAAAGTGTGGCTGGGGGCTGGGTTCTGGCTCTGAGGGAGGAGGGCTGGGGGCTGGACTCCTGGGTCTGAGGGAGGAGGGCTGGGGGCCTGGCCTCCTGGGTCTGAGGGAGGAGGGCTGGGGCCTGGACTCCTGGGTCTGAGGGAGGAGGGCTGGGGCCTGGACTCCTGGGTCTGAGGGAGGAGGGCTGGGGCCTGGACTCCTGGGTCTGAGGGAGGAAGGATCACTGTGGGACCAGCTCAGAGCAGGCTCAACCACCCTGGGTCCAGGAAGGTCCAGAGAAGCCTACCGCCTGCCCAAAGGCTTTACAAGCCTCTCATGGGGTTGGAGACGCTCATTACTCTGGAGCAATGAGGCAGGAGGGGACCCAGGCGCCTGACCGCCTAGTTGCTCCTTCCCTCCCTTTCCTGGCTGAGGCCTGAAATCCCCATCCCCCCAGGAGTTTTGTGCTGAGCCCCAGTTCATCTGTGAGGACATGAGCCGGACAGACGTGTGTCAGGGGAGACTGGGTGAGACCGCTGAGCCCACCTAAGGCCCCAGATCCTGCAAGTTGCAGTTGCGACCCTGACACCTCTGCCCTCGATCTCCCCCTCCCCACCCTCTGACCTCCCCTCCCCCTCCCTCAGCCTCTCCTCTCCCTGGGCCTTAGCCTTCTCTCCTCCAAGGTAACTGTTGGTTTCTTGCGGCTGCCGCCTCCCTCACGCTGCACCCCCGACTCTTGCGCCGAGTGGTGCCCCCTGGACAGGGTTTCCGAGACAACTATGCCGGCGTCTTCCACTTCCAGGTAAAGCTCGGTTCCTCTGCTCATGCCTCAGTTTCCCCAGGTGACATGGTTTCATAGTTGATGTTGTTTCTTTGGGGCTGGAATTTTGGACAGGTACAGCAAGGTCAGGGGTCAGAGCTGGGCCCCAG